GTTAAAAGTATCCCTTGTCCGGTGAAATAGCTTTTCTTGTAAGCAGAGGGATTGGTATTTTAAAATGTAGTGCTGTCAAGATAAGGCAGAGATATCAGTGTTCTTAAATGTTCCTGAAGGTCCCACTGAATTCTAGGTAAATTGTGCAATGTTGTGAAAGTGTCTGTGGGCTGGGAATCCTTGTCCTTTTACAGGGCCCCCCATGGGCTTGAGGCGCTTTGGGAAGGTGCGTCCAGTGGAGTGTCTAAGGAATATTAGAAAAGCTGTTTACCCAGATGGTATGGGAAAGTTAAATATTTTGTCAACAATAGCCTAAAACGTTCATTGTTAGCTAAAGAAAGTCAAACATGCTAATCATGGTCAGAGGTCTGTGGTTATTTTTAACTGCTAGTCATCCATGTTCCAATCGACAATTCAAAATTTGAGAGCTCTTAGTGGGGGGTGTTGAAGGACTTGTTAGGCATACCTGGGTGTCTGTAGCTGTCCCCATGGCAAATGTCCTCCGCAGGACAGTGATAGGAGTGTTTACATTATTTATATATGCAGCCATCAATTCCTGAAGAACTGACCTATTTTTGTTCTATCTTCCAGATCAAAGTAATAAAGAGCCCTTATCTCTCTAGGACCTCCCTACCACTGCATGTGAGGAAATGTAGCTCTAAATCTCACAAAGATAGAAGGGTTCAAGTGGAGAGAGATATTGCCACAGTCTTTTCTCAAAATTGACGGAAAGCTACCTTTGACAGCAAGGCAATGCTATCATGTCAACCAAGATGCTTGCTTGTTTAGGTCAATGCTTGTTTATAAAGGTACCTGTTTTTTCTCTTTGAAATAATGTTATTGCTAGAGGGAGCTTGTCAAAACTTTCTAGAGCATAAAGTCCAATACCATACAGTTTCTCGGTGCCTGTATGCCTTCTTTAAGGACCAAGACAAGCAACCGTTGTTCTTAGACACAGCATATGAATTTGACGAGAAAGTGGCCACCCCATGATGGGTTTGTTTGTTTGCGTTTTTCTTTAGCATTGCTATTTCATCTAAAAAAGCCTAGAAGGAAAATTGAGAGGCATATTTAGTTCTTCTCCACACTGTCGCTAAACCATTCTGAATGAATTTTACTCATTCCGTGCTCTTTAATCCAGTTCCTTATCTATTCACATGTCACGGACAAGAACCTTTATTCCTAAAGACGTCTGTCAGCATTTTAATGTCAATTTCCCTCACATGGTAGTAGGATCTGTGGGAGAACAGAGCGAGATATTATAGGAAACACACCCTCTGCTCAGAGTCTAGCTGGGAAATCA